CCATCTGGGGTAGAAACAGTCCTTTTGTTCTGTGTTTGTATGGCACTTAGAACAGCAGGAGTCTTGATCCATGATTAAAGGTATAGACAGAGGTAAAAATGTTATCAGTATGGAATGTATAAGCTGTTACAATGTTGCTGTTAGATCTGTAAGGTCCTATAGCAATGTTGGTGGAATAAAAACATTGTAACTTTAAGTCTGCTTCATTCAGAGTTAAAGTTACAGTTATTACTCCTGATATCTCTTGAGTCTGGGAGAAGGTTTTATTTCTGAACCGATTTGAAAGTTCTTCTCCAAGAAAATTAAAATCCAAAGAGGCAAAATAGAAACACTTCTGTAAAGGGCTATACAAGCCTTATCCAGATCCAAAGAAGCTTTTCAGGAAGCTCTAGGTACTGGGCCCATTCCATACATCATGTGCTTCAGTGAGTAGATATGCTATCTCAGGCTTCCAGGTGACCTTTCATAAGCCTCACTTATCTGCAGCACAGATGACATTTTTGCGAATGCACCAAAGGGAGCTTTACTCAGTAAACCCAAACAAATGCAGGTCAGTATTTCAAAACCAATGATAGAACGCCTGAGTGAGTTAAAAGGGGATGGAGTTTCCTACTTCATGGTGTAAACACTTATAGAACCAAGCAAAACGATGTCCTCAAGACACAATGCTCTAAAACATATTGGAATATAGAGCCATCATTTAGCATACAGAATGCCCCTATCCATTATTCAGGACTTAACTATTCAAATATCCACAAACACCATCATAGCAATGCTGTACATCAGCAGGCGTGAAGGATCTTCTTCAATCTGCCAGGAAGCTAAGGGTGGTTTAAAAGAGGATGGAGCTAGATTGTTCTCAGAGGTGGCAGATAAAACAAGGAGCACTGGTCTCAAGTTACAATAAGGGAAGTTTCAGTTAGATGTTAGGAAAAAACTTCCTCACTGGGAGGGTAATAAAGCACTGGAACAAGTTACCCAGAGAGGTTGTGGAATCTCTGTCCTTAGAGATTTTTAAGATCCTGGTAGACAACCTTGGTTGGGATGATATAGTTCAGGATGATCCTGCTTTAAACAACGGGCTGGAATAGATGACCTCCTGAGATCCCTTCCAACCCTAATTTTCTATGATTATGCATAGCTTTCTATGATTATGTATAGCTGTATCAGTCATTTCATTGCATCATTGATCACTCCAGGTTCATTGCTGTTTAGCTCAGTTGGTAAGAGTGTGGCGCTAATAACATCAAGGTTGCAGGTTCGATACTTGGTTGGACTAAATGATCTCTTCCAGCCTTACTTCTCTATGATTTATGATTTACCTATGGTTAATTTGAACTATTTATTTTCACTGAAACAGTCAAGAATGTCCCTCGTTTCAATAAGGGTGCACCTGGCAGCTGTCACTGCTAATCATCCTACTGATCTTATAGTCCTCTGACATTCCATAATGATTAAATTTCTACAGGAATACATCTGTATATTCCCACTGGTCAGGTGGTCCCTTTCTTTCTGGGACCTTAACTTGGTATTAACAGGATTGATGGATCTCCCCCTTTCAGTCTGTGCCTACCAGCTCTCTGTAGCACGTGTCAAGAAATACAGCCTTTAGGTTGGCCAAATCACATCAGCAAGGAGAATAGGAGAGATTGAGACCCTTGTTGTAAATTCACCATACAGTCTTTCACAAGTACAAAGTCACTATCAGGCCTCACTTAAAGTTTTTGCCTAAGCTTGTTTCTTGGATTCACATCAGTCAGTTAATTTACCTTCAGATTTTCTTTTAAATGTCATTCTACCCAAGCTCCTTACAGTTCTACATTTTGGATGTCATAATAGGCTTCTTCCTTTTTATGGACAGAACTAATCCATTTTGGGTTTTTGGGCAGAACCATACCGACATTCCTAGATTCTGTGGTATTAGCTGAAAGACTTAAGGAGTATTTCATATAATCTTGGAGTTGTTAACTGGGTCTCTGACTGTGGGGATGATTATGATTTGACTAACAAATAATCTCCTCTGATTATATTTGTCCTTGCTCACTGGGGGTTCAGGTGATTTCTCTGGCAAGTTGGGATAATGCCCCTTTACCAAAGATACCAAAGGAAACAACGTGGAGCTTGCTTGGTATGTTTACCATTCGCTGTTCTTAAGGGACAAGCATCCAGTTTTCTACAGTAGCCCTGAAACATTTATTTTTATAAAACTCGTCTCATCTAACCCATGGCAAATAGGCAGCTGCCATCAAAAATAGACTCTTCCTTCTCTAAAAGAAATAAATAACTGTTTCTTTGAGACACATTGTCCATGAGATTCCATTACTTGCCCTCTTTTCCCATTAATTCAGAATCCCATTTGTTTAAGACACTGGTGAAGAAATTGTGAGGTGGTTGAAGCAAACATCATACCCTCAGATATGAGGATAAGAGCACTGGGTAGTGGAGGGAAAGCCCATCCCCAATAGATGCTGCTTTTCAAAGAATCCTAATGTACAGAACAAGAATGGAATCCATGGCCAGAACATTGCCAAGGGCCTCAGTTACTGAAGAGTAGGTAAACCTTCTGTCACAGTAATCAACAACCTTTTTGGGCTGCAGGCCAGTGACCCAGTTCAGGTCAGAGGCAGGTGGGCAAGTAGGCACTAGGACCACTTTTTCCTGCAGCAGCCCTGGGAGAGCACCTACAACTGGTACTTCTCTCCTCAGTGGGGAAAATGACTGCTGCCAAAGTGCCTTGCTGCTGGATGCTGACAGTACCCTACATCTGCAGATTGGATCAAATGGCTCTTCCAGCCAGATCCAGCCCACAGGCCATAGGTTGTCAACCCCTGTTTACTCAAAATCTATCAGGAAGCCCGTCGGAGCCAGGTAATAAAACTGGCTATTCTGAGTCCCAGTCTAGCATTAGCCACAAGAACATCCCTCTTTTCAGTTAGAAGTATGGTCATTGATTTTCACAGTAACAACCTGTTTAGACCCTAAAGTTTGATTTGTGTGCGTGTCAGGGAACAGGGGTTTTGGCTGGTGCACTTAATGTTCAAGGTCAGTCAGTTTTCAAGGGAAAAAAAAAAGCATTTATTCATTGTTTTGGAGCAAAATCAGATCATTTTCTTCTTTAATATACTTTTAATTGATAGCAGCCTATCTGCAAGAGAAACAAAGTCCTCAAATACAAATCTTGTTAGGTACACTGTCCTTTAACAGTAGCGCTGAAGCGTACTCCCTGTACTTGCCACTGTTCCCACTCCTCCTGCCAGACCCCAGCATCCACGCCATCACTGGGACCAGGCTCTCCAGCCCCTAGTCTTCTCTACCTCTGCTCTGGAGAGGGTGAGAAGAGGTTTAGAGGGTTGGGGCTTGAGAGCTGGATAGTCCAGCAGTGGGGCATCCCCACTGACACCATGCAGCCCTTATGCTGGGAAACCCTTTATACTTGGAAACATTTCAAAAGTTACTTCTGTTCATGTCCTGAGTAGCTGAAGGCAAGGGCGGATCTAAGTGGAGTACAGTGGTATAGACAAAACCCCATTTCAGACCCTATCATGAGCAACAGCAGGGATGGGGTTTTTTAAGTCCTCAGATCAGGTGAAAATCCCATCCCCATCCTCCTGTTCTCTGCACCCCCTCCTTTCTGCTCCAATCTCAGCTGCTTGGGTGCTCACTACTGCCCCTGCTGCTGTCATCTGTTGAGGCAGGGAGGCTCCAAAGCTATTCTGCCTGCTCCAGCTGGCAAAATGGCAACAGCAGCAGCAGTGGGTGCATTCCTCCTCTCTGTCCAGTCCCTGGGGTATTATCTGCCTGCTTGGGAACAAACATGGGCTGGGAACCTGTCTGCTGCTATCTTCTGCTGAGCCCAGCTACAATGGGTCCAGACCTCTTCCTACTGTGAAATGAATTGGGAGAGTTGTGGGTTGGGCAGGTTGCCAGGAGATAAATCTAGAGCAGGGGTGGGCAGTGTCTGGCATCACTTAATGAGTTTTGGTGACCTGTCAAGGGCGCTCACTCGCTCTCTCTCGCTCTCTCCTCCCCAGCTCAGAAGCCTGACCCCACCCGCAGCTTTGGCATGCCCTCCCTTCCCCAGACCCAGCAGCTGTTGGCTGCATCCACATCTACCCAAACATGGCCAACAGCTTCCAGGTCAGGAGGCAGGGCATGCTACAGCTGCAGGCCGTGACCAGCCTGAACCCTCTTGCAGCTGCTGTAGCATGCCTTGCACCCCCAACCCAGAAGCTCCCAGAAATTGTCTGGACTTGGGGCGGGGCACACTAAAGCTGTGGGCAGGTGGACTCTGGCCGTGGGGTAGTGGGGCTAAAGCTGCGGGTGGGTTCATGCTTCTGCTTCCATGCTGGTGGCAGCCCCAGCCCAGGGAGAGGGCACCCAACATGCGGGAAGCAGCCCCGGCGACCCAGCACTACACAGCTGTCAGAGCCATCGCCCACCACTGGACAGATGTATTCACTTGTGGGGTACCCACCCATAGGCTGGATCCAACCAGTTGGCAGACTGGATACAGTCTGCGGACTGTATTTTACCCACCCTTGCTCTAGAGTCACTGCAGCCAGTCACAGCAGGGTACACCCAAGGATGGAGCAGAAAGGAGGATCCCACCCAGCTGCATCTGCTGTTCCCTGATGTGTGGCTGGAAGAGGTCAGGATCAGCTCTAAAACACCTTCCAAACACTCATCAGCCCAAGACAGTGGCAGGTGGCAAAGGGGATAAATGGGAGGGAAGGGGACATGCTGCTAAGGACAGGGGGAGGGTGGGGGTGCTAAGAATGGGGGATGATGGGACAGGGGATGGGATTTTTAACTTATTTGGGTACTTTAAAAAAAGCCCTGACTGCTGATCCTACAACATGGTCTGCCTGCTTGGGGGTGTAGGAGAAGCTGGGAACAGGTGTGCAGCCCTGCACACCCCTTCACAAAATCGTAGATCTGCCCCTGTATGAAGGACTTATAAGAAATTAACTTTTAACAGTTTGAATCCCTTCTTTTTTCAGCTAAGACATTTAGGAAATGATGAAGTGCACATTGTCTGGTCAGAGCATACTCGAGACTACAGGAGAGGAATAATTCCTACAGAATTTGGTGATGTTCTCATTGTTATCTATCCAATGAAAAACCATATGTTCAGTATCCAGATTATGAAAAAACCTGAGGTAAGGCTTTATTGTATGCTTTCAAGTATTAACTACATTATTTTTGTTTCTGGTTCAACATATTAGTCCAGCAAAGTAATCCTCCTTGAATAGTAATGTCTATAAGGCTATAATGGCTATAAAGCAGAACTCAGAAGTTTAGTGTTACGGTGTATGAATATAAATAAGAAACTGAATTGCAGTGTTCTAATCCTAATAAGATATTCTGGTATGATCATAAACTGCAGAAACAAAACCAAAAGATCTTGTGTAGTGACCTAAAAACTCCACTCT